TTGGCTATGGAAATCCCACATATTTTTGCAGATGGAAATGTGGGAAACTCTATGGGTGTGGATTATTTTGCAGCATTTAGTAAATGGCTCATTGTATATCAAAAAGCAGCAGTCCTGTCTATCTTCAACACCTTCATGAAAGTGCTGGGAATGCTCAGCCAGGAATTTGCTTCTGCTTCTCAAATTGCAAGGAAGCTGCTTGTAGTCTGAGACAATCAGCTGAACAGAAGATAAGAGGAAGAAATTTCCTGAGAAGGACATTTTTTAGCTTTTGGAAAGCTGGATTATTTGGCGTCCAAATTCAGGCACAAATCAAGGTATTAGAATTTAATTTGCAAGCCAAAAGTGCCTTGATTATGTGCTCTTTCAGAACAAGTTTTACTTTGTCAATTTTTTATTAACTCGCATTGGATTTTAATAAACTTATCATTTAATCTGATCCACTTAGTTTTCTTATCCTTGATTGTAAACAAAGCTTTTAAAAGAATGGTAATTGCCAGTGTCGGTAGTTATTTTTGAACATCCTTGCACAAATCCAGTTCAAAGAATTAGAAAAAGAATGGGCATCATGAAGGATTATTTGAAAACTGAGCAGTAATTGGCATAATTAAAATTATTATAATAATTGGCAACAATTAGCACTTATTTAAAATACTGGTCTTAAAAAAGATTCTCCTAATAAGAATTTCACTTGAACTTTTCATCTTGCTTAGGAACAGAAAAATAAGCCAACCCAAACAAGAGGGGGAAATGGAAAGAGGCCCTACTATGTATACCAGCTTGACTTTCTGAAGGAAAAGGAGAATACAACTCTAATAAATAAATTTCCTCTTCTTACTTGAATTGGAGTTTCAACCACTGTTTCAGCTCCGCCATCAGGGAGGGCCAGCTTCCTTCTATTCTTCCCTGTGAGGGAGAGAGAATTTTAAGCTGCATAGTTAATAATGTAGGACGTGGTGTTTTATAGAAGAGAAGACGTACAGAAGATGAGATAGTTGAGATCACTCTGGGGAATGGGAGAGCTTTGTATTACCTCTGGTCGTGTCTTGATTTGGATCATTCTGAGAGATCCTCCTGAAAAACATTTCTGGAGGTGAATTTGATGGATGCCTCCTCCCAGGATCTCTGATCTCCCTCATGAAGGACTTGAAAAAGTAGACAGGAAACAAGAAGAAGAATGAATGGACAATACATACCAAGAAGTGGATTCTTCTGTGAACACCACTCCAAAGCCCCAGAAATCCATCAGTGAGGTTGGAAAGCAGGAAAGGAACAACTATCACAAATAACAGAACAATGTCCTATAAGAATTATCAGAGTATCTCCACATATGATAAATGCCAAAGTCCCTGGTAGGCAAGGTGTCATGGTTCTGATAGATGAGACCAATGAAAAGAACTTTAAGGCAGAGAAATTTTTCTTAAAGAACATTTTTTATTTGACTACAAACATATCGGTATGAACAAAGGTGAACCCAAGGCTAAATTCCCCTCCCCCGGTTACTAAGTTGCAAAGTTACTATCCCCACCCTAATTAGTTGCCATAAATCAAATTCACCAATTATTGCAAAACACGGGCTCTCTTCCCCGTGACTTTGGTTCCCAGACCTAAGAATTGTTTTGGCTAACCTCAAACTACACTCCCACCTCCCTTACCTTTCTAAATATGTGGCAATCGAAAACAAAGTGAAAATGGCTTCTTTTCAATTTGTTGCAGAGTTGACAAAAGGGTTAAGAATTCAAACACACTGTTTATTATATCTAACCACTTCAGAGTTCCCAAATGAAGGTCTCTCACCTGCCAGTCAGTCTTCTTCTTCTTCTCCTCCGCCTGGCTCAGGAGGAAACCTTCCACCAGGGCCACCGCCTGGGAGCTGGTCTCTGCTCCACACTCCCGTACCCAGCTCTCCATCTGCAGGGGCAGAAGGGCCAGGAACTGCTCCAGAACAACCAGGTCCAGCATCTGCGCTTTTGTGTGCTTTTCTGGTCTCAACCATCTACTACAAAAGTAATAGAGTCGGCTGCAAAGCCCTCGGGGACCTTCATCCTCTTTGTATTGGAAGCTCCTGAAGTTCCAGGGATCAATTTCTGAAAGGATGGTTTTCTCCTCCAGGATCTTCTGCTCAGTTCTTGCCCAGATCTCTCCACAGCTCCCAAGCTGAACACCAGAAGGGCCTTTTCCAATTTCCTCACTTGCTAAACATTGGCTTTTCATTCTTTCTCAGTTCTGTATCGCAACTCCTAATGGATCCAGGGAATCTTGTGGATCTCCAACCACCTTTCTACTGGTATTCATAGTACCATTCT